TCTTTGCTATGACCCTAAAATTAACAAGTGGTAGTTTCTTAGAGGTTAATAGCAGTGTGGAATCTGAAACTATATGCATGTACTCTGTTAAATTAAGAGTTCATTGACTGGTCCCCTACCCTACCCTGAGGAGGTAAATCTCCTCTTTCTGTCTGTCTCTAATTTATGTTCTAAATAAACTACATTTTCTAATCTAAAAAAAAAAAAAAGGAGTTCTTTTTTTGATGATTTTGTAATTTCATGCCTTGATCATTGGGGAAAACAATGGTTCTTATATACAGTGTTTACTCATTTTACAATAATGAAAATATTCCATTGATCTTATTAGAAAACTCTTTTAAGTATTGGGAAGCTCTCAAAGTCACAGGAGTAGGTACAGGTTTTCCAAAGTTCAAATTTTGCTTTAAAAGTTGAATTTTATTGTTGGCAGGAAATATTGTCTGTTGTTTTTCCTGAACTAACAGGCTCCCTTTTTTAAATTTTCAGGGCGGTGTTTGCCCAAAACACAAACCTCAATAACCATAAGTTTGTCTGTTAATAGGTAGTTATTTCAAACAAAAATAGTGTTTTTATTTTTATTGTTGCTATAACACATTATCCCAACTCAGTGCCTTAAAACAAAACAAATTATTATCTCAAGTTTGTTGGTTAGAAATTCTACACGGTCTCAGTGGGCTAAAGTCACAGTGTCTGCAGGCCTGGTGTTTCTTTCTGGAGGCCGAGGGGTGAGTCTGGGTCCGAGTCTTTTCTGGCCTCTGAAGGTGCCACATTCCGTGCCCATGGCCCCATCCTCCATCTGCAGAGCCAGCAGGTTGCATCCTTCTGACCCTGCCTTCATTGTCATGTGGTTCTGTCACTATCGCTGCCTCTCTTCACTTTTAAGGATCTTGTGTTGTGGGGCCCACCTGATCCTCCAGGATACTCTCTCTCCACCTGCTAAGCAGTCTTAGTGACACCTGAAATTCGAGTTCCTGTTGCCAAGGACTTGACCTTACATACTCACAGCACCCAGGGTGGGATGCAGGTGTCTTTGGTGGGGGTCATTCTGCTGGCCACAATCTCCCAGCTGAGCACATGCTCTTTCTTGTGGTTTCAATGCAACGGCCTTCAGGAGGCAGCACGTGCATGCTGCCTCCTCTGTTCTATCACGTTGAAGATGAAAAGGCACATGCTCAGGTATCTAGATTTAATAAAGGTAATTTTATTGCTTCACAAGGGACATTCTTAGTGAGGTTTTATTGGGGAGGATCAGACTGAGATACCGGCCATTCAACTCACCATCCATGCAATATCAGGGAACAGTGCCACACAACCTCTTAATACTATCATGGAGATGGTTTTGACATCATGCCCACCTCCCTTAGAAGGGCCCAGAGACCCTTAAGAGTTCACAGTGCACCCTTGAGAGCTGTTGTGTGCATTCACATACCTCATGGTAACTTAAGTTTCTAGATGAAATCATACAATGGTATGGGTTTTGTGAGAATGTGAGTTCTTACTGAGTTGTCTCATGGTCTGTGCTATGCCAGCAGCCTTCCTCTGGTCAGGACGCTAGGGACTTCTTAGGAGGGCTCTGAGAGTTTGGTCACTCATATCAGTTTCCATGGCAGTGCACTCTGACTTGATTGCCTATCTTCCCGGGAACATAGAACCGAACACGTCAGGTTAAGTGCTGCTTTTTTGTGTGTTCAGCACTCCACATGACAGGCATAGAATTACAGCAGGCATGGAATTACAGCAGCACTGGTGAATGGCCCAGAGTAGAATCCTAACTGCTACTAAACCCCACCTATTCCCAGGACAGCTTCTGGTATCTTCATTTCTCTATTTGGATCATCATGAAAGTATACATAACCCACACAGATGTGATTATGTATGTCTCCTAAATAAATAAATAAAAATTCATGCTATTTCATATAACTTCCCAACAACCCCAGACTCCTGATCCTGGCCTGAGGTCTGTGGGCATTGCTGCTTCTGTCAGTGTACTCATTACATTTAGACAGCTTGCTCTTCTGGCAGAGATGTGGTTGCTGACTCAGGACTCCGGGTACCTCAGTTCTGAGAATGCCACCTGCCTGTGATTTAATTGGAGGGGAAATCAAGAATGTAGTTATGTTGTCACCAGTGAGAATATAGCAGGTGACATTTGGCACAATTTCAAACCCAGGAGCTGAACATGCTAAGGAATTTCCTCATCCTTTTCAAGAAGCATTTCTTTCACAACTGGCAAAACCAGTTTGTTCTCTTCCAGGGGAGCTCACTTTGTTCTCTTCCAGGGGAGCTCACTGGGGTGTAGGAATCCAATCAAAAGAAGGGGCCTGGAATTTTGCCTGTCAAGTTCTTGGGGGAAATTTTCTTATCTTTTTTCCACAGAGTACTCTTTTGTATATGAATGAATCCCTTTGAATGTTGCACAGTGAAATCTTAGGACTTTATCTAAAAAGTTTTCTTTTTTTTTTTTTGAGTTGGAGTCTCACTCTGTCACTCAGACTGGAGTGCAGTGGTAATGGACACCCGCATATTCAGCATCACCATAATGCTTTCTGCTGGCTAGGGCAGCTTTGGTTTCACATTGTTGCATTTTGGAGGCTGATCTGGGAGGCAAAGTCCCACATGTAACTTAAACCTTCCTTCCTCCAGACATTTTATCTCCATTCTTCCTGGAGGGAGTCAGATGGTAATCAGTCCTAGGGCCTGGCTGTATTAAGGGCTTGTTTGTGATAGACATAGGATAACCACTAGCTTTTCATTTGTGGAGACCTTGCAGGGTACCCAGTGGTTCTGAAGCCAAAATAAGTCTTCCCTGTGGGAGCCTCATCCAGCATTTGCCATGGCCAGGCATCCAGCAGGTTCAGAGTCTGTGGCACGCAGCGCATCCAACCCTGGTTTGGTTTTGTTTTTCTTAAGTGTGGTATACAGAAATGAGCAAAGTCCCAACTGTTAATAATTAAAATGAAGTAGCCATAATGCCATTTTTATGATGTTTTTAATATATTGTACTTCCAGTGTGTCCAGCTCTTGTGAGTTTCATACTTGGAACTTGGCCTACACCCACCCAAGCAGGTGAAACATTCAGTTCTGTGCAGTGACAGACCTCTGGGAGCTCTCCTACATGTCAGTCATTTGAAGGCCATTGAGCTTCCTGTCACCTTGCGGTGCACAGTAAGGCTAGGAGGGCAGAAGGAGGTGTGTTCACTTGCAACGTTGTCTATATTGTCACTGCTCGGTCCTTAATGTAAAATGACAGAGCTGCGTGTGTTTCAGAATTAAGAAGGCTTCAGATTTTAGAAGGGTGATAAAGTGCACGTCCCATATAGTAATATTTCCAGTGGGATCTGGGCACCACCCTACAAGCAAACACACTAAGAGGAATAAATTTAAAGTATTAATGTCAGTGCCATATTAAGTTTTGTTGCCAAATGTGTCTGCTGAAATGTGTGATATGTACCTTTCAGCTTTGAATTGTCAAAGTGATAGGTGTGGAGCTCGGCAGGCCTGGTGGGTCCTGGTGGCTTTTCATGCACCTGATCATGGGACTGCATTTGTGGTCCTGGCCTCTCCCTGCTGGGCCAGTTGCTTTCTCTTCCATTCTCTGACCTTCTCCTCTTATCTGTTAGTTGGGCAGTATTTGTCTTGTAGGCAATTGTGGGGATAAGAAGCTGATGTACGTTAAACACTGAACATAGTGTTTGACATATAGTAGGTGTTGAGTAGATGTTAGCTGTTGCAATTTCACCTCCTCCTTTCCCCCTTTCTTTTATTAGGTGGAGCCTTGCTGATGCAGTGGTTGCAGTGCCACTCTGGAAACAGGATTAAGTGATAAGAATTGCCCTGAAGTCACTAGAGAATTGAGTCTAAGAACTGTTATATGGAAAACTTATCTCTTGTTAAGTGACCAATACCACCTGAAAATTTGTTTGCAAAATGATGACTTTTCAGTGATGAATTAATGTTTAGATTAATGTTATGTAATATCTGAATCTCTGAGATCTTCATTTTGACCACATTTGAGGAAGAATTATTTGCTTCCAGTTGATTTGCCATTATGAAGCCTCTTTTAAAGTTTCACTGCAGGCCCTTATCTTTTTGAAAATTCTTTGAGAGAGAGGTTTCTCTAGGTACAATATTGATGATGCTAGTGCTATAACAAGGATATACCCAAAGTTGATAATTTCATAAATTGGGAAAATGGTGCTGGGAGATGTCTTTTCTGATTTTACAAAAAAGTTGCAAAAGTATAAATGAACTTTTTAGTGCAAAACAATTAACTTTAAGGTGTGTTTTATAAAGTGGAACTCTGCTTCTAAATGTATAAAGGCTTCCCTTTTTTTTTTTTTTGGAGTTGGAGTCTCACTGTCGCCCAGGCTGGAGTACAATGGCACGCTCACAGCCACCGCAGCCTTGACCTACTGATCTCAGACAATCCTTCCACCTCAGCCTTCCAAGTAGCTGGAACTACAGGCGTGCGCCACTATACCTGGCTAATTTTTTTTATTTATTGTGGAGATGTGGTCTCTCCAAGTTACCCAGGCTGGTCTCAAACCCCTGTACTCAAGGCAATCCTCTCACCTCGGCCTCCGAAAGTGCTAGGATTACAGTCTTGAGCCATCATGCCTAGCCTTGGCTTCCCTTTTTAAAGGGGGACACCACAGAAAAAGAATTGCCTTTTGTTATCAAGCTGATTTATGCAGCCTCATTTTGTACTCTGTAATGGATTAACACAAGTTTCCTAAAGTATCAGATGATCTGTTCTAATGAGGTATGATCTTGAAATACAGAAAATTTTGACTTATTTATGGCCTTTTCCCTTAATCTGTGGAGATTGTAGATGTTTGCTCCACTGCATTTGTTGGATCAGACAGAAGAATTAAAACAGAAGGCGTTGGAGAGAAGAAAAGTTTGGGCTATTTTCTGGGTGTGTGTCCTGTGGGGCTTTTTGGTGTCTGAGTGGGCCAGGACCTGCCCATGTTTACATGCATATGTTGCTTGCCTTGCAGCTGAACTTCCAGCAGAAAGTGGGCATCATGTACTGCAGAGCTGGGCAGAGCACCGAGGAGGAGATGTACAACAACGAGGCCGCTGGCCCGGCCTTCGAAGAGTTCCTCCAGCTCCTGGGAGAGCGGGTTCGGCTCAAGGGATTTGAGAAGTATCGTGCACAGCTTGACACCAAAAGTAAGAGACGTGTGTGTATACCCTCCTACCAGGCGCCTTCCTCTTGCTGTGTAGATGTGCATCTGCTATATTATCCACCAATCAGCATTGCCATTTATTGCTGGAAGCTGTTGGCAAAGAAAAGGGAGCAGAGAGGGAGGATGTAGCAGGACAGTTGCAGGTTATAATCAGAGCGACTAGAGTTGGACACAAGAAAGTAGAACTATCAGAGGTGTGGCTAGGCAGGGTGGTAGGTACAGACTGTGCCAAATTGCTCCTGGATAGCGTAGCAGGAATTTCCTCATATTTACCTGGCTGTTAGGGTGATTAAGAACTCCAGAAACCATAGCCATCTGATTGTAATTCCTAAAGTGTTTGACCTTCATTAATACATTTCATAATCTTTATGCGTATCTGTATAGTCAGTATTCATACTTACTTATTTTGTATTCTTAGTTACTATCTAAGTTTTTGGTTGTTTCTCTTATTGCTGTTCATAGACTAGCTTAATCTCTAAGAAAATAGGCTTTTAACTCTGGGATTAGTTTGGCTCATAAAATGTGTTGATTAAAAGCATGATAACGTAACATTCTATTTAACTACAGTACTTGAACCTACAAGGTTGTCCACTCCCAGGCCCCAAGCCATCAGTAAAATAGTTAAGTTCTCAAATACTATTAGAGTTAAGAGTATGTTGACTTCTGCTGTGTATCTACATGTAGGCAGTTTTAAATCTTATCTCAAAATCTGTTCATAGACACCTGTGACCTGTTTGGGTTTTTTGTTGTTGTTGTCTTGTTGGGTTTTTTTTGAGACAGTCTTTGGATTAGCACACCTGGATTGCAGTCTATAGTAATCTCTGATTTTCTGTACAGGAAATTAAATAAAGAGATGAGTCATGAAAACAGAAAGGCATTCATAAACTCCACTGCAGGGAAGAATTTCCTGTTGCCATGGTTTTGCTGTTGCCAACTTGGAAACGACTTGCAAGAGAGACTATTAAAATCCATAAATAGCCTAGCTTCTTAAATATTATTTTAACATTCTACACTCTGTTCACAACTGCATAAAATGTTAGATCTCAGTGTGCCCTTGAACTCTTCTTATCCAGATAGTCCCTTATTCACCCTGTACAGTTAGCTCTTTCATGCTGTTCCCATTTGTTGTGCTGTATAAATTATCATCTCCACAAAGGACTTATTGAACAACTCTCTGGAAAGAGAATGTGTCATACACCTGTGGTTCTGTAAACGGATGGGCAGACTGGAAGTTGATAAGACTGGGTATTACTTTTGGTAATGAAGGGCAATGTGAAAAGTATATAGCTAGGCTACAGGTAAGCAGCGAGTCATCTGGAATAGGCAGTAGAATACACAAAGTAAACACTTTGTATCCCAACAACTGCAAAGGCTGGGGGTAGCCAGGATCTGCACACACCTCTGACTGCATTTAGAATTCCATAATACATTCAGTAGGGAAGGTTCTTTTTCACTGAATGACTCTCCCTTAAGGAGCTGAACTTTATGAGGCATATCTAAACTTTCGAGGCACATCTCCCAAGAATGAATTACATAAAAGCATCCTTTTCTGTCCTTTCAGGGTGTCAAGTTTCCTAAAATGAACAAAAAGTAGGAAAGTGTTTCTACTCTAAATGCCCCCAAAAAGGCAGTGTGCAAAATTCTCTCTTTTACCCCAACCCAATAGGGACAAAGACTAGAGGAGTCTATTAGCCTTGTCATGTACCCATGTTGTTATGTACTAACAGGCCACCTCACCAGGCAGCAGCCAACCCTGCTCATCCAGTAGCTTCCTGCCACCATGACACAGCCAGAGACGAGTGTCTGCTTGGTGTGCTGTGGTATAATGTCAACACATTTTATCTAATTCTAGTTTGTGTCAAGAAACCTTCAGTATAATTTTTAAAGTGCTTTTTAGAACAGATGTTCCTCAAGGGTCATTCCCACTGTAGATGTCACTTGAATCTGTGGATTTGTAGTTTTCTTCAAATTAAAGTACTATTTGTCATTAATTTTTTATATTTTCTGTCCTACCTCTCTCTTTTCTGAGCCTCCACTTACACATATGTTAAATCACTCACTAGTGTGCTGCAGGTTAATGAGGCTCTCTTCTTATTTTTGTCAGCATATTTTTTTTTCCATTTGTACTTCTGTTTGGATAATTTCTGTTAACATGTGTTTAAGCTCATTGTGTTCTTCTTTTCTTCATAGTGTCTCAATCCATTATTAATCCAGTTCTATGGAATCTTCATTTAAGATACTGTATTTCAGCACCAGATGTTGCATTTGATAATACTTGTTAGTCTCTTCAATTTTCTCCTCACTAGGGTCATGCTGTCCTGTAAACCCTTAAACATATTTATAATAGTTATTCTAAAGTCTTGATCTTCTCATTCCATCATCTCTATCACTTTGGATTTCCTTCTTTTGATGGGTTTCCTCCTGCTTGGGGTACATATCCCTGCTTCACATATCTGGTTATCTTTTATTAGATACTAGATATTGTGAATGTTTCATCATTGTGTCTTAACTTTGTTGTCTTTTTAAAAGCATGTTTGAGTTTTGTTTTGGCAGGCAGTTGGGTTACAGTATAGTCTTCATGAGTATTGTTTGTAAGCTTTGTGAAAGTCCACCCAGGGTCACCTTTACTTTCTGGCTGACTGAGCCCTGCTACTGAGGCAGGACTTCTGTCCTAGATTGTGTCCTAGAATGGCTGGTCAAAACTCTAGCATCTCCCCGTGGGATTGTTGGGCTGATGATTCTCTGGTCATTATTCTTTCCTTGTTGATTTGGCTTGGCTTTGGGAACTTCAGACTGTGTGCGTAGCTTACTCTTCATCCCAAAGTTAGGGAAACCCTGGTCAGATTTCGGAGGCTGCTTCACTCTGAGATCTCCTTTTCTGGTCCTCTACCCAGCAAATCTCAACCCCTCAGATATGAACTCAGGTCTGTTCTTGGCTTCCCCCACAAAGCCCTGCTCTGTGCTATGGTGCCAAAAGTGCCTCAAGGCAGAAAGCTGGGGGGGTCTGAGGGCTCCCCTTCTTTGATTCTTTTTCTCAAGGATCACTCTCCAACTGCATATTGTCCAGTGTCTGAAAATAGTTGTTCCAATATTGTGTCTATTTTTCTTGTTATTTACAATGGCAAGGTGAAGCCTGAATCCAGTACTTTGTTGTGACTGGAAGCAGAAGTTCCAGATACTTTTGATATAGATGCTGACTCATCTATTTCCCACAAACCCCGCTAAGTACAGTTATCCCCATTTTAAAGACTTGGCTTTGTTAGATGGTTAGAAGCTAGTAGGTGCTGGGGAACCAGAACAGAGCCAGTGGTATGTAGTCAGTGAGTGTTGAGAGAAAGCATAAATGTAGAAACACAGCCCCCTGCCAGCCTTTGGCCTTGTCCTCCCGGCTCTCATGCCCCTGGGTGACCATGCCCAGGCCATCTCCTGGGCCAGTCCCACTTGTGGTGGACTCTGATTATATTCAGATCTGAGAACTTCCCAAAGAGGGGAAAGGTTGATGGAACTATTGATCCTTTCCCTCTTTTCCCCATTATCTGGACAAAGTTCATTTCCTCATCTCAGATATGAGGGCTTATAGCAACCAAAAAGCCACAAATGAACATGACATAGGCCAGGACAGTTCTGCCACAAAGATATTTTCAGGAGTGGATTTTTTCTCCTTTTTTGTTTCCTTGTCTAGATGACATAACCTCGAGATAATTACCATCCCTGCACACGTTACCAATTACAAAAATAAACTTCCCAGCAAACAGTTTGCTGTTGGAAAGCTGGAGACAACCCTCATTTGAAGCTGTGTGCATGGATTATTATTCAGGAAGTTATTTCCTGACTGGGGCTGGTGTGTCAGGTCAGCACACGGGATTCAACACCTTTGTGCAGCACCCTTCAAGGCCCTAACCACATTCATGAGTTTGCTGCAGTATGAGTGGGTATCTGCAGCCTCCTCTATTGTTCCTCAGTATTATGAAGTCAGTTGATACTCAGGGTCTGAGAAGCAAGACTTTTCATAAAGAAAGTAAACCCTTCTTTATTTGGAATATTTGAGCTTTGATAGGGAAAGTGTAAGTAGCATTGCTTCAACGCTTTGCACATGCAGAGGGCACCTTGGAGTACTGGATACTGACAGGTGAAGACAAGAGTTGTTTTTAAGGAAACTTGACACTTTTTACCTTAACTGCACATAGTCCTTAATTTCCATAACACATTGACTGAGCATCTCTTATGAACTAGCACTTTTCTAAACATTGTTTCACTTAATCCTCAAAATACCGGGAATCTTGAAGAGCAGAGGAATGATGTGATCTGTTTGGGGTCACTGAGCAAATGACATTGTTGGCACTCGATCTTCTTACCTCCTAACTGGGACCCTAGTAATGCAGGAATCTTGCAATGTGGATGGTAGATAGACAATAGCAGTGGCTGCACTCCTAAGCTCCCACTTCACACTGGCACTGTCCTTGCCTCTCAGTATTCTGCCGACTGGGGATGCCCACCTGCAGCCACACTGCCCTTGAACTAACACACATGAACTTGCTGCCAGAACACAGATAGCACCACAAATGTTCTTGATTGCATCCTTGTGGAGTCACCTGCATCTTGACCACTGGTAAGATACACTGAAAAGACATTCATAAATATGGCAGATGCCAAAGTAGGTGGGATTCTTGGCTTCCCCAGCCACGTCATCAGTGTGAAGTGACATAACATGTCCCAAAGACCCAGTGCATGCCTCCTCGTGAGCACGTGCTGTCTTCCAGAAATGAGCTTGACACTGCCATGCTTCTGGCATCCATGTCTACATTCCCACCCAGAACAAGATTACATGGAGCAAGGTCCACCTGTGTCTGGCTCTACCACCAGAGTCTTATATGATGACCCAGCAGCCTGCTGGCCATTAGCATATCTCAGACAATGGAAGGGATAACACCCACAACCTGTCTGCGATTCTTTATTGCTCCTGGTGTGTTCTACAGTGGTGAGAATGGAGCCCAAGCTTGCTTTATTCTGTTAATCTACAAGCATTTCATTACTGAGATTACTCCTCTCTTTGTGTTCATAAACATTTAAAACTAGGAACTATCCAAAAATCAAATTGCAAGAGTTTTTCCCCTCATCCAGCTCTTCTTAAATGTATCATTTAGTGACCAGGAAATAGTTCATGGAAGACTAATTACTTTTTCCGATTCAGATACATGCACATACACCTTCATCGTCCATTGTTCAAGCATTAGACTGCCTAAGAGTGAAAGAGTTGAGCCAAAAGAGAGGCTAAGGACAATGACAGCACTGGCTGTTGGACAGTCTTCAAGTGGCAGTGTTCACTCATCTTTTCCTTTCCAGAGCAGCCGAAAAGAATATTCTTACCATCTGTCAGTGATTCAGTGTCTTCCTCTCATCTAGTCTGAGTGTGAGAAGCTTCTTCTTTAAGTGTTAAAGCTTCACATATAAACATATACATGAAGTGACATCGCCTTTCCATTCTTCTTCTTCAAGCACACTGTTACTTTAGAGATTGCACAATCTACTACTTTTCAGCCAGATAAAAAAGCTTCTTTTTTTCCCCTTCCATTTTCCTGGTTGTCATTCTGTTAAAACTTTTATAGTTTTAGGGATTTGTGGTCGCTAAAAATCAACTAAGGACATTGATGCTTTATTCTTCAGAAAATGAAACATTCTTCTACCCTCCCTGCTAAGGTTTAGGAGTGCTGATGCGCATAGTAAGTTCAGGATTTGTGGATCCCTTTCTTCTCAGAAAGGAAGGTCTCATTGTTTTGGCCCTAGTTTTATTTCTAATACTTTTGAAACTGTTTCCAGACTGTTGAAAATTATCAGCAGAACTCTGGAGTTTCTAAAGGTCCCCCAGACGCAGGCTGGTCAAGTCACACACATTGTATGTGATGAGGACACAGAGAAGAGAGAAAGGGCCAAATGTAGAGAAACAAATGACTCAGTTGTCTTTCACGGCAGTTCTTCTTTCTGGCAGTAATCCTTAGAATCAGACTTATCAAGCAAAATGCAGTAAGCAAATACTGGATGACAGTCTTTTCTTCTAGTTCATTAATTTTGCTTAAAATTGACTTGAAACACATGTAAGTACATATCAAAGCTGACCCATTCCCTTTAAAGTTTTAAACTGTACTGATCAGTTCTACAGATATTTATAGCCAGGGTCCTTGATAACAGAGAAACTCTTCTTGCCTGAGACTTGTCTTAAATAATTTCGTTGAATCCTTTATTGTAGTAATGTGCAATATTTTTGTGGAGGTGGTCATTAACACTTAGAAGATTGTTTTTCTTGAGTAGTTATCTGTTGGTGTATTTTTTGCAACTTTTGAAAAATAGTCTTTGCTTTGTCCTATTTTTGACTTGTTTTTAAGCTTCGCATGTTATGTCAGCTTCAAAATGAACCCCCCCCCCAACTCAGGCTTGAAATTCGGGGCTCTAGAACATCTTGAGTAAGCTGTCTGCAAGCTGCAGCTGTGGTCTCTTCTCAGAGCAGAGACCGAGGGCCATGGGCCTGCTGCATCAGAGATCAGAGGCACCTGGGAGTGTGTCCTGAGAACAGATTCCTCCTCGGTGAGGGCCACACTAACCGAGCAGAATCTCTGAAGATGGGGCCAGGGAATCTGCCTTTTCATCTACTTCCCAGCTGACACCGTGCATACTAAATGTTAAGAACTGCTGCCTTTTGGTATATACCTGACACTGCCTCATCTGTCATTGTCTAAAATGTAGTAAAGTGCTTTGGTCCTCCATAATCTGCTTATGGAGAATTGAGTTTGCCCAGAATAAAGGCACTTCTGTTCTTATTGCAACCCAGAAATCTAGGCCCTTGAAGTTGAAGCAGATATTCCCCTTCTGTAGGTAGTTAATAACTTTCTTCTCTGCTTTCCAGGGACTTGTGGGCACATTGATTCTGAAACTTTGTTAATGATTAAGGCAGTAGAGGTAGTTTACTGTAAGGAAGGTGAAAACGCAACACACTTAAGTCTTTAAAAAAGAATTGTTGGACATTGCTTTGTTCTTCAGTGTTTAGCAGTCTTGTTAAATTATTGTCTTGTTTTCTTGCTTGAATTGGAAGTATTAGAAAAGGGTTTCTTAACTTAATATCTATGAACAGAACTCAGGGATCTGTGAAATTGGATGAAAAACTATTTTATCTTTATTTTCAGTGACCCCAAGTTGAAGTGTAGCATTTCCTTCCATTATGAGCAGAGGCAACAAACCACAGTAGTTTAAGTTCTACCTGTGGTTTTATTGCCAATAGAAAATGTTGATATTCTCATGTCATATTGTTAGTTGTTGTAGATAAATACTACTTGTTCTCATCACTTCTTCTCAATTATAGTAGGTAACCAGACCAACTGCTAAATCTTGTTTTATAAATCTTGTACATACCATATTTTAGAATCATTTGATAATTGTATTTCAGTATAGTTGATTTCCTTTGAAATTTCATGTATTTTATTTTATAATTTTACAAATATTATTCAGAGAAGGGTTTCAATGCAAAGACTTCAGTAGACTCCAAAGAGGGTCAGATGCAAAAAAATGGACAAGGAAAAAACAGCAGGAACACTCATAGTGGTCTTGTCTAGAGTCTTTTCATCCTAAATCCCTTCCTGTTTTAACTGCAGCTGACTCCACTGGAACTCACTCTCTGTACACAACGTACAAGGACTATGAGATCATGTTCCATGTCTCCACCATGCTACCCTACACACCTAACAACAAGCAGCAGGTAAGCAGTCCTTGTGCTATCTGTGTTTCCCCCAGAAGTCTCAGTGGCAAGTTTGTAAAATCTTAAACCAGAATGTGGAGTTGTACCTGTCACAGCAGCAGACTCCTTGTGTTCTGTGGAAGTAAGGAATAGTACACGAGCTGAAAACAAGCACGGAGGCACACATTGAGGTGGGCCACCAGCTGGAAGACTTTGTGGATTAATCACTTGCTTTCACCCACGGGGACTGAGGTTTTGTGAAACCTGAAGAGAACAAGTTGAAATCCTTGGTGATTAGATGACACTGTGGAGTTGCAGAGAACAGGCACAAGTGGGTGGTGCTTCATCTCCAGAGACCAGTGCTCAAAGTGGAAAGTACTGCTGTTTCACTTTAGGCTTCAGAGGAGATTCAGTGTACTGGCTTGGAGAGCCATCCAAATAAATGTCAACAGAATCTCAGAATAATACTCTTTCTTAACTTGTTCACCAGGAGAAGGCAAGGAATATAAGTAATGATTGCATGTGCCGACGTTATACACAGTTTCCCTTAAAATGTTCTAAAAGCTCACTGCCTAGTTACTAATTACTAAAATTAGTAAAACATGAAAACTAAGAAATGACAGATTGTTATAGAGCAAAACTGGATCTGGCAGTATTGTTTTAGAACAGCCGTCCTCAACCTTTTTGGCATCAGGGACTGGTTTTGTGGAAGACGATTTTTCCACAGACAGGAGCAGGGTCAGGGAATCATCAAGCATCAGATTCTCCTAATGAGTGTGCAACCCAGATCCCTTGTGTGCACAGGGTTCTAGGGTTCATGCTTCTATGAGAATCTAATACCACCGCTGATCTGACAGAAGGTGGAGCTCAGGCCTGTAATGGGAGCAATAGGGAACAACTGTAAATACAGATGAAGCTTTGCCTGCCACTTGCATCCTGCTGTGCAGCCTGGTTCCTAAAAGGCCACAGACCGGTAGCAGTCCACAGCCCAGGGGTTGGGGGACTTCTGTTTTAAAAAATATGTAGTAGTTGTTTTTTTAAAATATTTCAAAATAAATAATGCCAACCTAAAATTTAAAAGAACTAGAGCTCTGGTAAATGCCTTTCAGTAGCTCTTACAGACTTAAGCAGTCCAGTTTTGTGACCTTAAACATGAACATGGCTTTTGTGGTTGTCAGTTGATGTCTAACACAGTTCAGGCCAGCTGCAGGATGAGTCACATCCTCTTTCATGGAATTTAACCAAATGCTACTGATCTACTCTAACACCTTATCACTTTAGGTTTGATCAAACACAAATCTAGGTAACAAAATTTTGCCTTTCATGATTGCCAAAGTAATAAGAAATAGGAAGCAGAGCAGTGAGTCAGCTATCAATACAAAGTACATTTGTTTGAAGATCAACTCCTTGGTCTGTACTTTGTTGATTTGTTCTCTGCAAATTCCAAGTTCTAGGTCTCAGAGAAAACACCGTGCTAAGAAAGATATACCAGACTTATTATTCTGATCAGTCAGTAGACAATAAAAATTTAAGAACACCAACAAGTGATCTTTTATGGAGAGATAAAGGCTTATTCTATGTGGTCACTCAGGAGAGAAAGATGAGGTTTGTTAGGGTAAAAAAATTAGTAACAAGATTTGATTAATCGTTTATTTCTAATTAAATGAGTTGAAATGCTGGCAGAGTTGGCATTAAATGGACTGCTATCTTATGTATTTAATTTAGGAGCTCAATCACTGTAAAAATGTTATGGTTCTAAATTAGAATGAGAAAGTAATGGCAGTGCTATTAAGATATTTTTATTCTCTTGCTAAGAAAGGTATTTCCTTCTATATCGTTACCTTATGTTTGGAAAAAACAGAACATATTTTAAGAGCCTTTTGCATGCATTTCTAAAGATAGATACTGTTTTCTTTTTTTTTTTTTTTTTTTTGAGTTGGAGTCTCACTCTGTCACCCAGACTGGAGTGCAGTGGCCGCTCCCGGCCACCACAGCCTCGACCCACTGGGCTCCGGCGATCCTTCCGCCTCAGCCTTCCGAGTAGCCAGAATTACAGGTGCGCACTACCACGCCTGGCTGATTTTTTGATTTATTGTAGAGATGAGGTATCGCTGCCCAGGCGGGTCTCAAACCCGCGGGCTCAGGCAATCCACTCACCTCAGCCTCGCAAAGGCGCGGATTACAGGCTAAGCCACTGAGCCTGGCTGATACTGTTTTCTTTTATACATAGTGTGAGATACATAAATGGGTTTGTTTCTATTTGCATCTTTTATTTAAGACATTTATTTTTACATATGAAGCCATATTTTGAAGAAAATGACATTGCACAAAAAAAGACAATGACATCATCTATGCAGGAATGACACAATACATAGGTAAATAGCTTTTGATTTTGATGTATCCAAGATCCTGAGTAAATGAATAATCTTTAATTATTGGTGCATTCTGTCTAGCAATCAGTACAGACCAGCCTTTATTTTCATAACAGCTGATTACATATCATGTTTAGAAATGAAGTAAACTGCCTCATTAGAAGACAGTTTGGGATGCTTTCAGATTCCTAAGGTTAGAAGTACATTTCCTGAACATTCTAACTCCCAATCCTCAACCTTCATCTAAAAGGCTGTTGTTTCTCCCAGCTGGCAGCCAGTACTAGATCATTGACTTCACTGGTATGTAATTTGTGTACCTTAATGTTACCAGGGAATTTTCTTTAAAAACAAGTTTGTAAGTACAAGCTTATGTCTAATCGGCAGTTTATATAAATGTCACACTTAAAATGTTTTCTCATTTAAGAGCCTCTGTATAATAAGTCTGAGAAGTACAAATTTTGCTGTTTTTCTCCACACTACTGAATTAAACCCCTGAAACAACACTGGCCTAGGATGATTTGGAGTGCCTGAATTTGAAAGCCAGCCATCTGAAATGCCATATAACATAGAAACAGAAGGTGATCCTAAGCAGCTTTCATTGTAATGAAGAAGCTACTTAAACTTGAAATTGTTACAACATTCTGGAATATTATTAATGTCTGTAACAACCTAAAATTATTATAAGCTTTTAAATTGTTACAACATCCTGGAATATTATTAATTTCTACATTCCCAGCTTGTGACAAAAGCTATCAGAAAACACCTTAGCCACATTTTCTTTAAATGAAGCCAATTAAGCTTGAACAAAAATTATGTTGTAATTACTTAAGCTGTTCTCATCTTTGAAAATCTTCCCTATGGCAAATTTCTTTATGTGAAAATGGAACAAAACCGTTGTTATGGAAACTGAGGAGCTGGAGGTGCTGGGACTTGGTGAAATGTGCCAGATATTGGTTAGATATACTTTAATAGCTATATATTTTATGCAGATTTAGAACATTCATTTCCATATTCTTCCTTGGAGGGAATAAGTCAGGCTAGAATACTGAAGATGACTGTGTAGATGACCTGCCCGGATATGACCTGCTTGGTGACCAGCCTGTTAAGTTCCATCACACAAGGGCACTGGAGAGAGAAAGCAGTGCTGTTATTTATGCCGGTTGCTGATCTCTTGTAGCTCCTTCGGAAGCGACACATTGGAAATGACATCGTCACCATCGTTTTCCAAGAGCCTGGAGCTCAGCCTTTCAGTCCAAAAAACATCCGCTCCCATTTCCAGCACGTCTTCGTCATCGTCCGGGCACACAACCCCTGCTCTGACAGTGTCTGCTACAGGTGCGTGTGATGGTCCAGCCAGTGCTGTATTCTGGAAGGGAAGGGAGCTTGCTACCATATACTTGTGTCTCCAGGCCGTGTTTGCAATGGCCAGATCCACATGGTGATGTAATCTGGTGGCATTGCCACTCCCCAGACACACTGACTGGATACCTGCTGTTTCCATTGGCACCTCCTCCCTAGGTGATGCCCTTCATCCATGCCATCTGGCCACCAGCTAATTACTCATGCTGCCAGTTATAGTTTGCTTTTGACATGGCAAGAGCTGAGAAGAATTGTCATAATAAGTAGGAAGGAGGAGTTAATTTTTAAAGTATTGTTACTTCAAAAGCCACAGCATTGTCACTCACTGACAATCCACACTAGCACTTCAGACTGCAAGCATAGAGGCATTTCTGTGCTTTATTAGCATCTGCTGCCACTGTTTCAATGTCACTAGTTGACCTGGTCTCAGGAGTATCGGAATTCAGGTATCTGTCTGCATGGGACTTTCTTTTTTTAACTTTTTCTTTTGAGTCAGGGTATCTGCCTGTCACACAGTCTGGAGTACAGTGGTGCAATCATGACTCATTGCAGCCTCAATCTCCTGGGCTCAGCCTCCCAAGTAACTGGCACTACAGGAGTGAGCCACTGTGCCCGGCCAATGCAGAGGTTTTTCTTTTCAAGAACACTGGAGGGGTAGGGTGTCAAAGGATCCTGTGATGCTGGCTTGATCAGGGTGTGGAGCCAGAGCAGATAAGGATAACATTCTGGCATCTGCAGCTTATTTCTAAGATCCATTGATCCTTTCAACATATGGACATTTGGGAGATCTTTTTATCCCTAAAATTTGGATAGTCAGTCATTGTTCATTTTTGATATTTGTTTCTGAAGTAATGTAGCTACTTGCACAGACTGTAGCCAATGCAGACTGACAGTTTGTGAGATCCTCGGTTACCTAATCCTCGGAGGTTGACAGGTCAGTTTCAGAAGTAAGGCAAGTGTAGTGTAGGGACAGAGCAGGTAGAGGCTACCTGGCCTCCTGCTGGCCTCTCCACTCTCATACAGACCCTTGGAACTAGTGTAGGGACTGAGCAGGTATAGGCTACCTGGCTTCCCACTGGCCACTCCACCCTGACTTGGACCCTTGGAACTGGTTTAGGGACAGAGCAGGTAGAGATTACCTGGCTGACTGCCCCATCCCCTCTCAGACTCTCAGAGCTGCTAGGTCAAGCTCTTGTTGTAAGCCTCATAGGTACTAGACAATCACATGTGGTCACCACAGTTAGTATTTCAAATCTAGGCAGTAGGAACTTCTTCTCCCCATTTTCAGGTGATATGGAATGTGGGCTCTTGCAAGATTTGACACCAGCTCAGGGGGTCTGCTCTGGAGCCCACCCCTCAGCAGCTACCGTGCTACCTCCCACATGTCATGGACACTGGGATTTGCAGTCCTTGTTCCTGACACAGAGGCTGTTCCAGAACCTCTCAGGTGCCCAGCCTGTACGAACACTCGGCCAGGGAGGCTTCCTAGGCTCCCTGGGTGGAAATTCTGACTGGGAGACCTGAGTCTATGCCTCTTACCAAGACTATCATCTCTAAAAGCTGCCTGGACTTGTAGGAGGGACACCTGGGACATTCAGCTATAATCAGATGGGTGACTGTTTGCGTTTAGAACATTTCTTGAGCAGTTAACATGTGCGTCTCAGAGTCACACACATGTCTCACACTATTGTGTAGATGGAAGGCAAGACCCCTTTGTAATGGGCATGGGGGGAGGGATTGGGGTGGAATGGGGGTAGCTGTGTGCTTTCTTTTAAAGAATTTCTTCTTTTCAGGCCTTTGTATAAGTCAATGCTGTCTAGTAGAAATGTCAAACAAGCCACATGTCAATTTTACATTTTCTCATAGCCAAGATTTTCAGAAGTAGTAAGATTTAGGTGAAATTAATTTTGATACTGTGTTTTTTGACCCAGTGCTATATGTTTTATTTACTCGTATATCTAAACATCATCACTTTAACATGAATTAACATGTAATTTTTTAACAATTAGAAATTATTGCCACATTTAACATTTATTGGACTAAGTACGTCTTTGTCATCTGGAGTACATTTTAGACTTACAGCAATTTCGATACTAATCTTTCATTGGTGATACTTAATCTGTATTTAGATTTCATAAAATTTACAATTGAAAGGTAGATTTATATACACAGATTGTTCCAATTTTTTTTTTTTTTTTTTTTTAGTTGAGGTCTTACTCTGTTGCCCAGGCTGGAGTGCAGTGGTATGATCATGGCTCATCACAGCCTCAACCTTCTGGGCTCAGGTGATCCTCCTGCCTCAGCCTCCTGAGTAGCTGGGACCACAGTCACATGCCACCAAGTTCAGTTAATATTTTTGTTTTTTATAGAGGCCAGGTCTTGCTATGTTGTCTAGGCTGGTCTCGAATTCCAGGGCTCAAGTAGTCTTCCTGCATTGACCTCCCAGAATGCTGGAATTACAGACTTGAGTTGTCATGCCTGGTCCCAAATATACTTTGTAAAAGCTTTGAAATAACTGAATTGAGTGTAAGTTTTTAAGATGTAATATTATTCATATTCCTTGGTCACATGAGCATATCTCAAGTGGTCCACAGCCACGCGTGGCCAGTGGATGGCACAAGTCTAAACAGATGCTGACAGGCAAGAACATCAGCCTTTTTTGGTATTTTGTATCGTTTTCTTGTCATTCCTCCCCAACAAATCATGAATGCTGAATGTCCCCTTCTGTCTGTGATCGGCTGCCTGCAGAACCTGTCCTTCAAACACTACCATTAGTACTGGAAGTAGGACACCAGATGCCCTGCTTGTGATATGTGGGCATGTCTGGGGTTTCCTGACTGCCAAGCTTGTTTGAAGGCCCAACACATGGCATTTAAACTGAATTTAAGCCCTTTATAAGTCCCAGAGAACAGAGCAGTTTGTAACATCACTGCAGGAAATCACAAGAGAGTATAAACAGTGACCTTTTCCTACTGTTGGCCTTAGACATCAATCATTTTCTCTGTCTTCAGAGGAGGCATATGTGTTTCTGGGTGTGGAGACAACACATTGGATAGGGGTCTCTCTTGTAGCTCTTTATGCAGGAGGAGAGTGCAAGGGGCATATTTTCTCATTAAAATTAATGTATTATGAAGTAGAATAGAAATGAATATAAACTCTAAGATAAAACATGGGTCTTCAGAGAACTTCTGCACCCTTGACTTTTTCTTGTACCCCAGCCACTTCCCAAACATCCCAGAGTATGGACTTTAGGCTCTTTCATCAGGCGTACTTTGGTGGGAAAGTTCTGTAATAAATTGATTTACATTCATTTAAACTGATTTAACTTGACCCCTAACTGGCATAGCTAGAGTAACTCAGATGCTTTTTGCCATTTAAGAACTCTTGGCCTCCACTATTTCGCTGTGAGCATTCGTATGTTTACTTGTGTGTACCTACCCAGTACCTGCACTTGAAGAGTGGGAATGTTTTCTCAAGGGCGTGTCTTGTGTGACAGTGTAGAGGAGTGTCACACGGGCTCTTACAGGGTGAAGTTACGCAGACATTCAACTGAGGATGGGACTGGGTGCAAATGTGAAAGCACGGATGGAATTCAGTGGAAGAAAGAGATCATTGCAGGAATGGTCAGCAGTGTAGACAGATGTGGATACTAGAAGGCAGGAGGGAGACTGGCCACTGATGTGAGGATGGTGCCTGGCCTGTCAAGACCCTAGGGATGCTGGGCCATCAGCTTAGCAAGTAGAGTAAGTAGAGTTTGAGAAGACATACCCAGAGTCCCCATGCAAGGTGACTTGTACACAGAGAGACAGGCTTGGGGGCTGCTGTCACCATGTGCATCTTGCTTCTCATCATATACTTGCTCTCATTGTTGTGGGCCCTGGGCTGTGACAGAGCAAAGAGAAAATTCCCTGGGGTGGATCCAAAGGTGACATCCCACAGTAACATGTTGTTGCATCTCCCTGGGGACCAGAACGTTGATGTAGGAAAACTGGTAAGCTGAGACTCATTCCTGAGACCATTGGCCTCCAGTGTTAGGACACACCAAGAGCTCGTGCCAGTTCCTCAAGTCTGCCAACTGCAGTTTGTCCCATTGCTGACACAAGCATTTTCAACCTGTCATCTGCATCATTGTGTGACCATCACTGTCCAGGCATCCCATAGAGCAGATTGGAAGCAACAGAAAGATGGAGTGTTAGTGGCAGGTGCATACTGAGAACAAAAGTGTGTGACTACTGACGGAGGAAATGCAGACTCAGTGAGTACAGCAGTCTGGGTCGTTTGCTTTGAGGTCAGACAACCAAACATAGTCATCCCCCTTTGTCTGTGGGAGACATATTCCAAGACCCCAGTGGGTTCCTGAAACCACAGACAGGACTCAACCCTATGTATACACCATTTTCTCCTATATATGCATACCTGTGATACAGCCTAATGTCTACATTAGCTCAGTAAGAGGTTGATGCAATAACTAATAGTAAAATAGAACAATTATAAGAATATACCTTAATAACAGTTGTGTGAATGTAGTCTCTCCATCTCAAAATGCCTTACTGTACTGCACCGAGGGTAACAGAAACCACAGAAAGTAAACCCTGGGTGGGGGACTGCTGTATACTCCACTTACTCTGAGGGCTTCCTTAAAACAGTATAGAATGGCACCATTGTCAACAACTGAGGAACTGAGGGATCCAGACATTGATCATCCAAGAATGCAGATACCACAGAGAGATGAATGTGTACCTCATAGTGGAAGAACACAGCCTCACCTAGGAATGCATCCTCCCCACTGAGTCTGAATCTGATCAAGCCTTTAAACAAATAAATTTACAGAAAGTACATGAGACAAGAGGAACATGTGTAGGTGGCAAAGTTCACACTCTAGATTAGTCTATAGACAAACAGCCCAAATTCTTCAACAAATGAATGGGAAGAAATAGAAAAGTAGGGAGAAGTCTGTGGAGCAAAACATTTCTTAAAGATAAACTAATTGCAGTGTGTAGCCCTTATTTGCATCCTAATTTAGACAGATCCTAGGATATCTTGAACAAATGGAAACTGGAAAGTCAACGCACTCTTTGACTAAGGAATCATTATTAATTTTAAAAGTAGGATACTGTAATAATTACAGTAATGACCCTGAGTCTTCAAAACGGATGTTGAATTGTGGTCAGTAACTGCATTTAAGAAAGTAGAAGTGCTCATTCCTCCTCTGGGAAAAGTGTCTGTACACAGGAATTAAAACATAATCAGGAGCCGGATGTTGTGCTAAAAGCCCATGGAATAAGATCAGACTATTGAACTTCTTATTTCTTAAATCTCCCTTTCTGTGCACTAGAGTATTGCTTGTTATCTACTGAAATGAGCAGAAGGGAGTGTGGTGTGTGCACAGCTAAGAATCTGTGTTTATCCTCTTTCTTCTCTTCTCTCAAAAAAATAAAGTAAAAATAATAATCATAATCATAAATGATTTTGCAAGCTTTAGTGAAGAGGAAAGAAAATCCAAGTGGGTCACGTGGAGGCAGTTTCTTCCAGAAGGTCTGCTCCAAATCGCAACTAATCAGCATCTTGTCATCCATGCAGCTGGCCTTTCTAAGACAGCAACTTGATGACATCACTCACTTTATGTGCCTTAAGCCATTTAGGGAAGAGTTCAGACCCTAGCACAGCACAGCCTGCTGCCGGGGGTCCCTTAGGTCTGGCCTTCCCTATCTCTCTGCCTCTTTTGGCACTTTCACCCCTCCCCACCCTGCTCTGCCTCATTCTCAAGGAACTGCTTCCCACTACTCAGGACATGTGCCCCCGCATCTGCCACTCAGGGCTGGGGGCAGGCTCTTCCCATACACGCCTGCCCTCCTTCCACAGTGAATTCCTGCCCTTTTCTCTGACAAGGCTCCTGACCTCCCAAGACTAGATGAGGGGCCCTTCCTAAGTGGTGTCAGCAGCACTCCGTACTTGCCCATCACAGCATCAAACCCCTGGACATGACCCCAGGCTTGGAGATGTGGAGGGCTGGCCTGAGACCCCTCACACTGCACATAGCCTTGTGTGGGGTGACACTGTGTATGTGTGTGGCAAGTGGACACCACTAGGGTCGGGAAAGTGGCTGGCGCTTGTCAAGTCACAAGGCATGCCTGGCCTGCTGGGCTGCCTCCTTGGGAAGCTCCTGAACCAGTGATCCAATTCAGGCTCCAAGAAGAGGAGCCTCCCTGTGCCATTCTGGCATTTTCCATGTCACCTTCCTTTTCAGTTTTGGACTGGGGATTGTTGTTTATTGCTGTTTCTCCCTTGTGCTTCCCAAGTTCAAGTGCATTTTCATCGTTTTCCATTGAAACTTCTATTCAGATGTCTCTGGCACATTCCCATGTTTCAACTTGAAACTGGCTTTGAGTGTCAAGACTGGTTACTTCTTTGCAAGTTGGTTGTTGCCAACAAATGTAACATGGCCCACACTGCAGGGGCCCACTGCCTCAGGGTGGTCTCTTTGGCTATGCAACTCATATAGGTGGTCCCTTTCAGCAAATGCCTCAGGAGTGGAAGGTTTCAAGGTATTTCTCAGAAAGAAGGAGAGTAGACTTCTCTTAGAGCACACTTCTGGCTGTCCAGAAGCCTAAATTTTAGCCCTGGCTCTCTCGAACAACCTCAGGCATATCCTTTTCTTTCTCTGCATGTGTTTCCTGGAGAAGTGAACAATTTGTACCTGCTGCTTCAATGGAGGTTTGGGGAGATGGCAAACCACAGTGTAAAAACAGGTTACCTTCCTGGTCCTTCACTATACTTAAAAATTTTGGAAAAGAACATACTTTTATATTAAATGAACACAAAAAACTTTCAATAAAATGTAAAATTGAGGTGAATTTTAAGATGAAACTCAAGATTTTATTGAAAGAGTTTGAGAAACACTATATTTTCCAAGTTCCCTTCTTGTGATAATTCTCCATAACTGTTTCAGCCTCTGAGCTCCCATCTGTTGGTCATCTAAATAACCCTCTTGAGAGAACATTCTAGTCCTCAAAAATGGTGGGTAAATAACTCATGGCTATAATTTTAAAGAATGTATTATTTCTGAAAAGGATAGAGTATTTCAAACTAGGCTGACATAAGTGTGGTCAAGCAGAGAACTTTTGGAATCTGCTTTTAAAAATAGCAAGAACCATCTATATTAATAATTAGTACACCTTAGGTTTCTGTATATACAAACTAAGACTCCAGAAAGGCTTATATACTCTTTGGCTAAGACCTGTCTTTATTCAAGAGTTCAGTATTTGTTCATTATCTAAATTAATGAACTTTTAATCTTGTGGAAACCTTGGAAGTTAGATTTATCCAAAGCAAAATCCCTATTTCGAAAGAGTGTTAGAGGGCCATCTTCCCTCCCCTTCTGTAAGGGTTCTGTTTCTGATGATGCAATGCTGATTTCAGTATCCGTATCGCTTGCCTCCCTGCCAAGGTGACTCATTGGTAATGATATGTTAAGGATTCTGTTCTTGTCCTCACAGTTTATTCTACATGTTTCTACTGTTGGTAGGTTTTCAGTATGCTTGTCTAAAGTTCTGTAAACTAATAAATAGATAATGTAGAAAGTCATGAGATCAAGGAGCAAATGAATGGAGAGGCTCCTGGTCACACTCCCTCCTCATTAAAAATAAAGTCACTGAGAAAGAAGAAAGATTGGAGTAAAATCAGCAAGAACAGAACTTGCCAATTTTAAAATGAAAGGTATTAAATATTTTTGGATTCCTACAGGATTCCTCTTAGAAAATCTAGCACATCTGGATTTCAGCACCTTTTGATCGATGTTAAAAGAAAAAAAAAACACAATCAACTTAAAATGATACAGTTGTCAGCATTAAAGCCAGACAGTTTCCATTAAACAAGAGAAACTGCCTCCTTGTACTTGCCTCCTGGTATAATTAAGCCTTAATTAATGCACACCGGTTCTGCGAGCTCTCTTCTCCAGGCAGAAGATGGAGCACAGTCTGCCACCCTTCTTTGTCATGCAGTGAACTGGGCAGTCTTTTTTTTAAAATAAACTTGTGAAAATCAATAAATAGTCCATTCCGTGACCTTCTTCTGACAATGTAGCTTATCTACTTAACAAAAACATAACTTGTATCCTGAGATTGCTGATTTTTATTTATCTTATTTTCACAAGGTATAATTATTTTTTGAAAAGCAAAAATGGATATCTTAAAGCAAGAACCCTTTTAAAAATAAGAAGTGAGGGCTGGGTGTGGTTGCTCATGCCTAGGATTCCAGCGCTTTGGGAGGTCGAGGTGGGAGGATTGCTTGAGCCCAGGAGTTCGAGACCAGCCTGGACAACATAGTGAGACCTCATCTCTACAAAAAAATTGTTAAAAAATTAGCCAGACACAGTGGTGCATACCTGTAGTTCCAGCTACTTGGGAGGCTGAGGTGGAAGGGTCACCTGAGCCCAGGAGGTCGAGGCTGCAGTGAGCCATGAGTGTGCTACTGCACTCCAGCCTGGGCAACAGTGAGACCCCCAACTCAAAAAAAAAGAAGTGAAACAGAGCTCTTCAATTTTATTTGAAAGGTGCATATTCTCTGACATCCTTTCTGTTGTAGAGTTCAGAAGAAACAGATTTTTCTATTACTTCCCTATACTGGATACAATTCCATAATCTACTCGTTAAGTAATTTGGAAGGAGGGTATTTGTTGTGTTGGAATCATTTCTGACCATATCAGACTGCTGAAATCCTGGAACATGGTACAAAACACACAAACTCCTTGCCCACTTAATTCCATTCTGTTGTTGTTTTAGGAGATGCTTAATTATTTCTCTTTTGAGGTTAAAAATAATAGGTTCTGACAGATGTTCCTATGGTTCTTTTCTTAGGCCCATCTTCAGCAATATACGTGCAGGGGAAATGATTGGAACAGGCTTTCTTAGAGCATCTTGCTTAAAGGAATGGGATAAGGAAAATATTTATCTTGCAAATAGATTGTCAGAATCAAATAGCAAAAGGACCAAAGAATAGCTCAGTTGAAAAATATGATTTTAAAGCACTATTATTGTTATATAAAGATCATACTCATTCTATTACTTAGATTCCAATTTTCATTTTAAAATTATGCTTTTAATATGGTTGCGTAATGCCTCACACTTAGGCCAGCATATATTCATTTAGTTTTATTAAAATTTAATCCATTTTTTTATGTCACATCTTCTGATATTTCCATCATAAGTGGTCTCCTCATTGGCATCATGTCTAAAATGGAGAACGTGTGTTCTTGCAAAATCTGGGCTTGTTCTGCAAGATTATGTGATTGTAGTAGCCCTCCTTGAAAACCATCAGTAGGTGTTTATAATGTCTCTTATGCAGAATATTACGGTAAATCTATTTTTTTCCATGGGGTTATAGTTAGTTTCCTATGTGTTAAAAAAAAGTTAATCTTTAAGTTTTGGGGGGGATTATTTTTGGCCTATAAAAAAAATTACATTCAACCTAAATATGGCTGAATGCAAACGTGTGTTCATATTAAGCAGAAATGTGTGTTGTTTCTTGTGGAAGAACAGACAGCTATCTTGCTTCTAAGATGTGTCTCTGCCTTTGAGAAAGTGTGTTTTGTTCTCATGTTGTGAGCCTGAGAAATACTGACAGCCTCTTCCTCTCTGGTTTTTGTTTATCTCTCAGCGTGGCTGTTACCAGGTCCAGAGACGTGCCTTCCTTTGGGCCTCCCATCCCAAAAGGGGTCACTTTCCCCAAGTCACATGTGTTCAGGGACTTCCTTCTGGTCAAAGTGATTAATGCGGAAAACGCTGCTCACAAATCGGAGAAGTTCCGAGCCATGGCGACACGTACCCGCCAGGAATACCTGAAGGACCTGGCGGAGAAGAACGTCACCAATACCCCTATCGACCCTTCTGGCAAGTTCCCCTTTATCTCCCTGGCCTCCAAAAAGAAGGAGAAGTCTAAGCCATACCCAGGTGCTGAGCTCAGCAGCATGGGGGCCATTGTGTGGGCTGTCCGCGCCAAGGACTACAGCACAGCCCTAGAGATTGACTGCCTCTTGGGGATCTCTAATGAGGTCGTCGTCCTCATCGAGCAGGAGACGAAGAGCGTGGTGTTCAACTGTTCCTGCAGGGACGTCATCGGGTGGACCTCAGCCAATGCTAGCCTCAAGATCTTCTATGAGCGTGGAGAGTGTGTCTCGGTGGAGAGCTTCATGGGCAGCGAGGACATCAAGGAGATGGTCAGGAGGTTGCAGGTGAGCGCCTTTCCACCCACATACACAGGTCATCTTCTGTGAAGTCTCCAGCACAGACTAGAGCCCCAGTATCAACTGTGCACTGGTCCATGAGTGCCTCAGAAAGCTCTCTGAGGATGTGACACAGAGTTTATCTCATGCTTGCTTTCCATGAGGTCTTGGGTGAATGGTGGGAAGAGTGGGGAAGACATGTATACTGTGCATGTGTTGAAAACCTGCTGGTAGGTGACTGACCCTCTGGCCTTGGAAGTAGATTCCACAGCCTAGTCAGTCAGGACGGTTTGAGCATCTGCTGGCTTACGTCCTGGAAGGGCGAAATGGGTGGCGGAAGGCAGGTTCTCCTTGCTGCTGGCTTCCTGTGGATCCCTCTCAGAGGCTTCCTTGAACTTAAGGGAAGCCACTAAGCTTCTTGAGGTTACAGGGATGCTTCTGTTGGCCTGGTGAGCAGAGGCTGGTGAGGGGCAGTAGCCAACCTCCCTTTCGTCTCGAATGGGGCTCAGAGGGAGCCCTGCCTGAGGGTCTTGCAGCTCCGTGCCCATGCCACACCCAGCACATTAACCACCACCTCTCTTTTCCTCATCTAGTTCGTCTCAAAAGGCTGTGAGTCAGTGGAGATGACTCTGCGAAGAAACGGGCTGGGACAGCTTGGTTTCCATGTCAACTACGAGGGTATCGTGGCTGATGTAGAGCCCTATGGTTATGCGTGGCAGGCAGGGCTGAGACAAGGCAGCCGCCTGGTGGAGATCTGCAAGGTGGCGGTGGCCACCCTGAGCCATGAGCAGATGATTGACCTCCTGAGGACATCTGTCACAGTGAAGGTCGTCATCATCCCCCCGCACGACGACTGCACCCCGCGCAGGTAGGTATGAGCCAGCAGCCAAGGGCAGGGTTGTAGGCCACACAGCATGTGCCTCCATGAGCATCTTGGAGGGGGAGGGAGGTGGACACTATGGGGATGGTAGGTTTTGCACTGTGCTGGGCATGCCTCTGAGGAAACCTGACTAGGAGCAGCAACTGGAAAGAATGACCCACATAGGACCCTTCCCAGGCCACATATGGGCTTTGCTCCCCAGGGAGGAGTCTGGGCAAAGCCATCATAAGCATGTGGCGCCAGTAGCTAAGAGGCAATCAGCACATCATGCCTGAACACACTTAGTGTCTCAGATGGTCCAGTGTTTTCACTCGTGCTCCATGAACTCTCATGCTCTCTGTCTTGACTTGCACATAGTTGTTATCCAAAGCTCAAAATGCCATTTAGGCCCTAGCTGGCCTGGCCCAGGCCACTGCCAGTGGCCACCTGCCTTTTCTACCTGCGTCTTTGTGTGCTGGAAGCTGGCCTCAGACAGCCACCCTGCCCTCCATCCCTGCCAGCAGTTAGTGCTGCTGAAATGTCATTTCTCTGTCTCTGGAAGGTTTCTCGATGGAACAAGTTTAGTCAACCATTTCTTCTGTCCTTTGGGCATACATATGCTATTTTTGCTAGTTTTTTAAACATCTTTTTAAAAAATTATAAATCTTATGCCTTCTAAAACCAAGACTATCATCTTTATTCTGTTTTCCCACCAAAATGACCAGTCCTACACCTGATCTGTCCTGGATTTGTGAATCACCTCCTGGACAACCCGGATAGCATGCATGTGTCAGGATGTAGTGCAATCGCTCTGTCTGATGTTTAAAGAAATATTCTCTCTTGGGTGACTGCATTTTCCTGGAAACCAAAATGTGAACCAGCTATTTTACAAGGGGAGAATATTCAGAGACTGCTCCCCCACGCACCCTGCTCTGGTTGACAGCCTCCCAGCCTCAGCCTCTTTCTGTTTCCTCGAGCACGTCATCAGGAGCATTGAGCTGCAGGAGAAAGGCTTATGGCTCTCTCCAGTGTGCCTCGCTCCTCTCATCTCTCTGCTGTCTCTTGTCTACCTTATTGCTTCTAAACAGGCCATTATAAATGCAAAAGATAACCAGGCTTTGTAAATGTCCGCCTTAGTTACACACAGTCAGATGATATAGACATACATCTGAGGACCATCTGTCAAGTTGAAGTCCTCAGAGGACTCACCCTTATTTCTGGCTCCCAGGTTTATATGCGGGAAAGGACAGGGAAGGAGGCTCGTGTGAGTAGAAGGAAGGAGCAGCACTGTGACACTGAAGAGTTGTTATCAGGAAGCTGACAGAAGCCTGGCCCTAGGTGGCAGGTGTGCTAGACTAGATCTGTCTTCCATGGTGTGTTAGTGAAAATAACATTTATTGAGTATTTTACTTGGCTGTGCCACGCCCTAGGAGAAGCACTTGGCTGGGCTAGTGTGTTCAGCCCTTAGGACAGCCTGTGACGGTCTTATCATCCTTCCAGTCAGTTATGATACAGCCGAGACCTAGAAAGGGCAGTACTTCCTCAGCTCATCAGGCATGTTTTGGTCTGACTCAAGAGTCCGACTCGTGACTGCCCCTTTGTGTGCTTAGAGCACACATCCTTTCTTCTTACACCAGAGCATGCAGTGATAGGCAGGGAAGTTGGTTTCTGTGGGAAGAAACCTGGATTTTGTAAGTTTTGCTGATTCCCGGAGTGTAAGCTCTCCACTGTGCTGACTCCAAGCTTCCCACCTGGCATTGCTGCAGGCGGCACTGGGGTAGATGGGATAGTCAGAACCCTGAGGTAAGTAAGACAGCAGCCCTGTGAAGCACTTGGCCTTCCCCTGGGTGTCCACTACTGCTGGGGGGGAGACAGGAAGGCTGTGACAGGTTCCTTCCTCACAGTCTCCATCTACCAGGAAGTCACCATCAGGTCTTGGGGCAGGGTGTTGGATGTGCTGTGTGGAGGTTTTGGGAGTTTTCAGTCTCCCCTCTTTCCTGCACAAGTGACTTTGAAGGAACCATCTGAACACTTCACCTTGACAGTGTCCACAAAACAGGACAGTGCTCCTGTTGCTTGCCCTTCTTCCTCGCATTCACCCCTACTGCTGTCTTCCTGGCAGCTAATCGCTCCTTGAAAAATCTCTTCTCTGGCAACCCTGACTTTGCCTCCAGAGGAGGCAGGACAGATCTCCAGGCAGGCTGCTTTCTACTCCGGCTGTAGGGTCTTCTGAGTCGCCAGGCCCTATGGGGCTGCAACCCCGGGGGCAGCGACTCTGTACAGATGCCCACAGCTTTGTATGTTCTCAGGGGAGAGTTGTTTGTTTTGAAAAGACAGCTTTAAAAAAAAATAAAAGCCAGTTTAACAACAGAAAAGTGGTGCTTAAATAACAGATGTAAAGTAGGGTTCTTTTCCCTGTGCAGGGAAAATAAGCAGACCCTCTATGAATTGCTTCCAAACTACAAGTTTCTTAAGAGGGGCAGGGAGTGGATAACCAGTCTTCCAAGCCTGCTGGGCACTGGCACTTTCTTCTTTCATCCTCATGGCTGCTTCCTTTCTATTAACACCATGAAGAGTAGGAGGCTGGAGGGTTCAGGCCCGTCCAGAGTAAGTGCAGGGGCGGGCAGCCCCGGCATGAGGGACGTGCTCCTGGTGGACGTCACCAGAAGACTCCCGAATGAGCAGGCCCCTCTGCAGGAGGTGCCCAGCCTGCACCCTTGCCCATTTCCCCTCTGGGTGTGTGACCAGCACTGGGATATTCATGTCCGTGACCCGAGTCTTCAGTGCCATTCTCTTAGCAAGATGGAAAGAGTCTGGATGACAGAGTAAATTGTTGCATTTTGGATGGTGGGGCACATGGGCCACCGCCCTGGGCTCTGCTGAGGGCCATGGGCCTACTCTGTTTACAGAATGCCATCACAGCCATTTGAAAAGAGGAGCGAAGAACAAGCAAGTCACACGGACAGACCAAGTGGCCTTTTAAGCAAGCAAAGGTCACAGTTTCCTCTTCGTTTTCTAACACCAGTGTTTTAAAGTGCAGAGGCATGCTGCTTCTGAGCTGGATGGGCAACTGGGAATCACTTGGTTCACATCTCAGTTTTCAGATGAGGAGCTTTGCTTCAAGGGAATGGTGTGTTTTTTCTAAACCAGAGTCATGTGGCTTGAGGGGCTGAGCCAGTGTTGTGAGGTTCTGTTCATTATCCTGTTAGCCAGTTCCCTGTGTTTCATAGTGTCTTAAGGAAAAAGGAGAGAGTAATGAAAAATAAGAAGTTAAAAGAGAAAAAATAAAATGACTGAAAAACAGAATAAGAAGATGTAATGGGCTTTGGATTAACTTATGGTTTCAGCAGGTCACTATTTGTCCGTCTAGCACTGACATTGTAGTTCCTGCTGGCCACAGCTCTTTAATTGAGTTTTATTACAGCTGTTGGATTTTCCTTGAGGCCTTGTAGTGCTTGAGTTACTGACTGATAAGGCCAAGCTGCAGGTAGATTAATTCTCTGGTCTCTAGACCTGGCTCTGCCACCTCCTGGATACGTCAGCCTGGGCACGGTCATCTCCAGGACTCCCATTTTCCCTCTTAAGGTGGGGATCATGGCAATATTTGCTTCCTGGCATTGCTGCAGTATGGCTGGATGAGTGCCTGCCTGTTGAGCCGCATATTATTAGAGCCACCATTCTTCAACACAGAGTAAAGTAACAAAATCATTTTGTGAAGGTGTATGTAGGCATGAAGTCCAGCTTCACCTATGTCTGGTGGTGTACTATCCACTTCTGGGCTCTGGTACCAAGTTTTGTTTTCTGGCAATGAGTGAGAGACCAGGGGCCAGCAGTGGTGGTCTCCCTGGGAGAGGCATCAGGGTGGTAGGCTGCAACATAGTGCCCTGTGGACCCCTCCTGCTCTTGCAATCCCACTGTGGTATCTTCTCTTAATTCTGTCGTGCTGCATTCTGCTACCATGGGCCACGATAAGGGCTCTAGTCACATTTCAGGGTGGTAGGAATGACGTGCCCACTCAAGGGCAGGTGGGTCTTCGGTACCAACTGTTAGGCAGTTTCAAAGAGTGTTTGAAGAAGAAATTTTAGCCTTCTCAATCCCAAATCTCTCCCCTCACAAGAAACCGAAGCCCCCAGATGAAAACCACTGCCTGTGGGTGTGGCGCCATTGCCTCTGTCACTGTTGTCACCCATTCGTTCATTCACTCTCTGTCTGATGCGCTTGGCCTGGACGTGGCCTGTGAAAGTGCTTGTGCAGTAGCACAGGCAAAACTCAGCGGGGAATGGGGCAGGGCAGCTGTGGCAAGAGGAAAGGAAAACATGGCTGGGGGAAGCTTCTGGAAAGCTGTGCTGCAACTCCATGATGAGCGTCCTGTTGTTGTTGTGGCATGAGCCTGTCCCTATGCTTAGCAGGAAGGGGCTGGGTGGGCTCGCTCGTAGGGCTCGCAGGCTGCAACGGGCTGTTGCTGGAGCAAGGCAGGGCCTGTTCTGCACGTGAGCAGAGGAGACATTTCTGTGGGTTGTTGTGAATTTTTGTTCCTCTCCTTCAGCAAAATGTAATGTGTGCATTATTTGCAGACCCAGAGCATGGATCTTCCCAGTATGCTACATTGAGCCAGAAACCAAAGACCCTGCACCAGGCTGTAGTCTTGCCATTTTTAACAACCAAAGACGTGTTGCAGTGGCGTGTTTTTGTCATAAATATGGGAATCAAAACTGGAAATTATCGCAAAGCTTAGGTTAAATTTCTTAACATCAAAGATAGGTGTTTATGACATGAAGTCATTAACTACTAAAAGTAATGTCAGATGTTTCAGAAAATCGTGTTTTACAAACTATAGATCATAACTCTAAAGGAGGTCACAAAGTCACTTCAGTAGGTTGCACCAAATGTGTTTTTTATGAGATATATTAACTCAGAATGTAGCAAATGTACCCTAATGGTAAGCGTGAGCATGTGTGCGTGCATGCCACATCCCAGCATACAGTGCATTTTTTGCCTGAGCTGTCCTCAGAAGCGTTTGAAAGCCATTTTCTTTAAAGCATAAAAGACACACAACAGGGCCTTGGGTAGAAAGTTGGATTAGGGATGGCCTAGGCTTTAGGGGAGTTGCAGGGTGAGTGGTAAGGAAACCCACCAAAAAGTACCCACTGGATGCTGGCTGTGACTGAGTTGGGCAAGGACCCTGCAGGCCCTGTTGTTCCGAGCAAATGCCTCCAAAGCATCTCCAGAGATGGCTGAGAGCGCTTGTGGAATACATGCCTAAAATGGTGGGGGTCAGCACTGAGGCACGCAGACTGGGAGGGGTCCTTTCTGCTGACCTTGTTATCAGCCCAGCTATACCCCACTCAGGACCAGACCTGGCCAGGTACCCTGTGGATCCCCGCTGTCTAGCACAGGAGCCACAGCCGAACATGGCCAAACTCTGCTTGTGATGTGACCGTGCCAGAGCAAGATGTGCTAGAAAGTGTAAAACACACATCAGATCCAGAAGAATGTAACCATCATATTCATGCTTTTCAGTACTGATTACATGTTGAAATGAGAACGTTTGTGATGTATTGGGCTCCGTGAACTGGATCATTAAATAACCGCACCCGTTTCACTTCTCTGAAATTACATCAGTGTACTGTGTCTGTGACTTAGATTCCATTTCTGTTGGACAGCTTTGGTGTGGCCTCTCCTCATGCAGCCTCCAAAGTGCCTCCCAAGGGCTATCTCACAGTGAAACTTTAGCCTGTCCTTCCCAGATCTTTCTTCCTTGCCTCTTGCAATTTCTTTAAGAAGGTAAATCGTTGTTTTTACTTAGTGATGAAATTCAAATGCATGGAAATTTTTAGTGGGAATAGGTCCCCCCCACCCCATCAGTTTATCTGTTGATCAAGTTAATTACAGATAGATCCACCCTCACCTTCCACCCACTCCTAACCCCACCCCCACTCCCATTGTTTGGATAATCTGGTGGAAAGTGGGTTTTGTATTTCCCAAAGTCGGAAGGGTGACACAAGAAGACATTTGTGCTTGCCACTAGCTTCACTCAGGCCACTGTCTACATGGCCCTGGTGAGGAAGATTTCTGACTTTGAAAGAAAAAAATTATCCGATTTCAGATGATATTTTGTTCCCTAGGGACTTGATAATTGTGGTATTTCTATAATTGGTTTTATTCTCCTTCTGAGCTAAATTTGACTCTGGGTTTGGATTTCAAAGCTTCTCCCCATGTAATTTCCTGACTCTTGGGGTCCTAGCAGATGTGAAGCTGTGTACACCTGAGACCCCATGATATGCGTGGGGGTGGCCTTCCTTCCTCGGCTCCTGGTACCCCAGCACCCCAAGATGACTGTGGATCCCATGATCTCCGGTTGGGACTGACCAAAAGAGAATATTTGGTGGGCTTCTGGTTTCAGATCAGACAATAATTATAGGACCCGAAGAATGAAAGCTGGTTTGAAGCACAGGATGCATTTTGGCCACACGTTGAGAATCTTTGAGAGCCATGGCTCCCCACCAAGGCCGCTGCTCACTGTCCCTCCTGTCTTCACCCTACAGGAGTTGCTCTGAAGCCTTCCGCATGCCCGTGATGGAGTACAAGGTGAACGAGGGCGTCCCATACGAGTTCAAGTTCCCCTTCCGGAACAACAACAAGTGGCAGAGGAATGCTGGCAAGGGGCCCCACACCCCTACTGTCCCATCCCAGAGCCCAGTGGCCCCACGGCTGAACACTGGTAAGGCTGATGGGAAGATACCACCTCCAGAGCGAGCTGCCAACATCCCACGGAGCATCTCCAGCGATGGGCGCCCCCTGGAGCGGCGGTAAGTGAGCCCGGCCTCTCCCCTGCCCTGCGGGTTGGCACAGGCCCTGGGCCTTCTGGATTTTCTAGAAATTCACAATGAGAACCAAGACACATGCCCCAGTGGGCTTCAGAGCATGGTAGCATTCTGAGGCCATGAGGGGCATGCTGACAGGTTCCAGCAAAGACTCTGCTGTGCAGGGATCATGGTTTACTCTTTAGTTATCCACAGGAGTCCTCACCACCCATGCCATGGCTGTGTGGCTTAGAACTTCACAGACTCTTTTGGGTGACATAGTTATATGTCCTTCCTGTGCCAGTCCTTGTCGTCTTAGGATGAAGGATGTGAGAGGAGCCACAGAACGCAGTCTCTGACTGAATGTGTGTCATTTTATTACTATGGAAGTCTGAGAAAGGAAAGCCAGTTCAGTATAGATGTACCTCTCACTGCTCTGAAAGTAGAAGGAATATAGTGAGGAGAAGGCATCCCACAGGGTTATAACACAGTCCTGAGTAAAATAAGCCCCTGAGGAGGGACAGAGGAGCCTTGGGAAGCTGGAAACCACAGCTGGCTATTAACCGGAAGGGCTAGTAGATCCCTTGGAGTTAGCTGTAAAATTGAGTGCAGGCCTAAACTTAACCTAGACTAAGTACAGATGTACCTCTCAAAGTGGGAATAGAAATTGGCTATGTAATTATAAATGACAGCACTGTAAATCTATTTTCCCCGAGTGATGCATGCTGAGGAAGGAGACAAACCATGATCTGCCGGTCACCTGCTGGGAGGGGCAGTCTCTCCCTCTGTCCGTCGCCGTCCTTCCCCCACCACTCTGCCTTCACTACATCTTGGAGTGTTTCTGTGGAAACCCTTTAGAGCTGGGAATGTCTATGTTCAGGGACTGTGGGGCAGAAGGAAGGTCCCTGCAGCCGCCAGGACATGACCTGATGCCTCTGGGCAGCAGGAGCCAGATCCAGAAAGGGCAGGTGATAGGGAACACTGAGTAGTTTGGGAGCTGAAAGCTGGAAGTCTTAGAAACCACTCTATGAAGTCTCTGTCAAACTGTCACATACTGGGGTACTCTGTAGAAACAATTCAATGAAAACAGACAAATCAAAACAGAAGTTTTCTTTCTAAAACTCCTCATTTAGTCCTGGCAATTATTCGAGCTTTGCCATTTATCTCAATAAAAGGTTCCCCTCCCAAAGTGACCCATTACCATTGGACTCCTCTCACTATCTTTAATATTATTATTATTATTATTATTACTGAGTTGGGGTCTCACTCTACTGCCCGGGCTAGAGTGCAATGGCATGGTCACAGCTCACTGCAGCCTCAACTTCCTGGGCTCAGGCCCCTGAGTAGCTGGGACTACAAGTATGCCACCATGCCCTGCTAATTTTTTTTTATTTTTTGTAGAAATGAGTTCTTGCTATCTTGCCCAGGCTCAAGCTCCTGGGCTCAAGCAATCCTCCTGCCTCAGCCTCCTGAAGTGCTAGAAGGTCAGTGCATGAACCACCATGCCTGACCTTACTTTCACCATTTTTGAGGAAGAAACATCCAAGAGATATCTGAGTGAATTCTTTGTCCTGCACACTAGTCATGGCCACTGGAGGTGTGTGCTTGCTGGGATCCATGATCTGGCCACATTTTGGAAGATGAACCTCGAAATCATTGTTTAGAGAGTGGCCTTTTTTCCCTTTCAGTGCTGTTTTCTTTCTCTCCAGAATAGTCAGTATCTCTTGCAAGTGACATTGGTTTTGTGTCATTTCTGAATATGTGAGTTTTGTGTCTGCAGGTAGCCTTCTGATCATAGAATGTTCCAGTATTTGTGGGAGTTGTATTTAGTCACAGAATTAACATTTATTCAACACACATAGGTAATGTGATACAGTCACTATTTTGGCTTCAAGTTTGCCTAGAGCTTAAAGGTAAGGTTGAAATAGAAGTAGCTGACTATGGCATTCGAAACTTGATAGGTAGCTGCTTGAACAGAGCACAGGATCAGTCATAAATCCCCAATGTACATTAATATGCTCGTAAAACTTGGACTGCTTGAGGAGCTTTTGATAAACAGAAAATAATTTTCTTCTTGTTTCTCTTTTACTTTTTCTTCTTTCTTTGAGACAGGGTCTTGCTCTGTTGTCCAGGCTTCAGTGCAGTGCCATGCTCATAGCTCACTGTATTCTCAACCTCCTGGGCTCAGGTGATCCTCCCACTTTAGTCTCCCAAGTAGCTGGGACTACAGATTTATGCCACTTTTTCTTTTTTGTAGAGTCAGGGTTTTGCTATGTTGCCCAGGCTGTTCTCAACCTCCTGGGCTCAAGCACCAGGACCACAGCACATGCCAGAAGACTTGGGTCGTTTTTTATTTTTTATTTTTTATTTTTGTAGGCAGGTTTTGCTATGTTTCCCAAGTTGGTCTTGAACTACTGGGCTCAAACCATCCTCCTGTCTCAGCCTCCCAAAGCAGTGGGATTCCAGACACACGCCGCCATCCCGGGTCTCTTCTCCTTTTGTGAGATGGAGTGTTGCCCATCTTTCTTTACATGTTTCACCTGGAACAGCTGCACTGTTCTCCTTGTGCCCTGTGTGTAGCTCTAAGAGGCTGGGGTGGGGGTCTTTGTCCACACGGAGGGACTCCTGCTGCAGATGCAGCCTCCCTCCTCATCTCCCATAGATGGGCCATGCCAGTCCTGATAGCCCTCCCATGGCTCTGCGCAGCCTTCAGGTCCACCTCCTGTGAACCTGCCTACATGGCCTTCCCTTCCGCATCCTGTTATCATCTCTACCCTCGTCTTTCAGTGGCTTTCTGCTCTCTGCAGTTGCCACAACCCAGGACTCCTTTTTAGGAGCTGCTTGTGATTCACCCTCCCTTCCTGCTGCTGCTTCTGTGAAGCCCCCTCTGATTTCCCCATAGCATCCCCTCCCATCTCTGCCTTAACTGCTTTCAGGCACGTTTGTGTCCCAGGTGCCTTTTTCACTTACAGAATTGTCATCCTTCACCCTCATATTACCTGTTCGGGTCTCTAGCTTGGTTAGCCTGTCCTACTCATCTCAGATCCCAGAGACCAGCCGCAGACTCTGATGCTTCATACGCACCCATTGCATTTTTTAAAAATTGATTTAGTAACCAAACCAGGAAGTCCCATGGAGCAGTTGACCATCTTGTGTTCATGCCCCATGTGGGCATTCCTCCCCACCCCACAGTGAGAGCTCCCTCCCTTCCCACTTGGGGTCATGAGCCTTTAACCACAACAGGGCATGTCTGAATAGGTGGGGACAGAATGTGGTCAATTCCAGATAAATAAATCAGTTTATTCTTATAAAAGTTAAATGACAGGTGAAAATGGAACCCTTTGTAGTCTTATAACACTCTGGAATTAATGCTGGACTGAAGGAGAAGTCTGTGGCTTTGGTTGACTGTGTTAAGAATGCTACTGTTTTAAATGTAGATTGCTGGTAGAGCTTGTCTGAAATGAACTAAAGTAAAATGCAGGTTGGTCCTGACAGTCTCCTTTGGAAGGTTTTAGTTGAAACTGAGTAATGGGATGGCATTTGCCAAGACCAGGGCATGGGCAGCACCGGCCAGGCTTCTCCCAAAGTCGCCAGCCCTGTGGGCTCTTCTTCACTCTGTGTACCTGGCACCCAGGGGTGGTGTGACTTGTGAGTTCACGTTTTAGATGACAGGGCGCGGTGGATCCTGGTCAGGCACTCAGGAGGCAGCATGGCAGCTGGGCTTGGCATGCCTCTTGGTGCCCCTTGGTTACAGCCAAGTGACCAGGGACTGAGAGCAGGAGCACCAGCCCCCTCAGGCTCCTGCATGGGGCCTAGGCCTTGGAAATGCTACCCTGCACTTACCCTGGGGGATGTACTTAATCCTAACTACTCAGGAAAATGTTTTAAGATCAACAACTCAGACACTGATAATTTCTTATCCATGAATTGATAAGCTCTGCTTGGGCATTGTGATCTGGAAGATTCTGTTAGGTTAGCATGAAGCACAGTCCCAGAAGTTGCATTATGGAAGGGTGTGAAGGTCAGGCGCTACTTTGGAGAAATCCAAAGACTTTTCGGGCAGTTATCTCTTTTTGCCTTCTGTGATATGCTTCTGGAAAGATGAGGAACCAGGTTCATCCTGGGCCATCTCTTCCTAAATGCTCTGCCCTCAGCTCTTCGTTTTCACTGCATGCGTTGTGTGTAAATGGAAGGCTTGTGTCACATGTCATCCCAGGACTGTGAAAGTAAATGTCTGTCAGTGGTGGAGATTGTAACTTTTCCATTGGTTTCATTCTTGGTACACTCAGAGAGCCCTGATGTTTTGTTTCAGCAGAAGGAAATGGTCAGGTACTCCAGAGAACATTTCAGATCATTTGCTTTAGAAACATTCAGTTATTTCTTGACTAAGTTTGTAAAAATATGTGGAAGAGAATCTACTAAAATTGATGGTAAAAGGTTTAGAAAATACTTTTAAGAGTGGCTGAAGCATTCTTTAAAAAGATATTGCTTCTATTCCACAGAATGGAAAGATCTGACAGCCTTTGAAAGAGGTCTTAATCCACCCTCTAAACCTATTTGGGCATTAGCCTCAGAGAGGGAGCCTCTTGGAATCTTGCACTGATGACCCTGGACTCAGCAGCCCTACAGACAGAGCTACTCTTAGCTAGGTCTGCTCTCAGGTGATACTTGTATTGCAATGCCAAGTTCAAAGGATTGGAGGAAGGAGGAGTCATCAGAGTAAGGGTGAATTCTGGACTGCTCTCTGCCCACCATCCACCCATCTGGAGTTGTGAAGACACCCAGGGGCCTCTTCCATGTGTGTTCCGTGTGTGAACAGTCAGAAAACAAAGCCCCTATTGAATTATATAAGCACAAGAAGGGTGGAAAGAGTGCAGCCTTCTGGAAATGTGGTTTTTCCACTTTGGGATAACTCCAGGAACCAAGAGAATTTTCTGAGACATTTGCCAAGTAAAAGAGCTCAGGGTGAGGCCCAGCATGAGAACTGGTAGCATAATGTACATTTCGCAGGGCAGGATAAAAGTAGCCAGCTCTGAATACACAGAGAAGGTCACATCTCAATTTCCCTGTGGAATCATGTTGTCATTTTCTCACAGGAGCACACACACTTTAATGTCTGCCATCAGTAGAATCCAGTTGCCTGACTTATTTATCCCCAAAAGAGTCCACAGATTGCCAGACCCCAGAGGAGGTAGGGCCTGGTGGAGCCAGCATTCCACTGTTGTCTCCTTTTTTTCTATTTTTCCATAATGCTGCCGCCTCTGTGCAGTAAGAAAATCAAATCAACTACAAAACGGAACTACATTTACAGTTTCTCTATATGAGTCGTGTACAAAAGCCACCCTCCTGAAGCTGAAGGAGTATGGTGTTTAGTCAGTTGGGTCCATGGGGCTCCTCAGTCCCTACTTGGCTTCCTTTTTGCGATGGCTCCTCCCAACCCTTCTGACCCCATTACTTTAGATTAACAATGAGAAATGCGAGAGGTGTCTCTGTGGGAAGAGGAAGGGAAGTCCACCTCACAGTGCCAAGATATACATCCAGTCCCAGCATCGGGATGAGCTGGTATCCCACCAGTCCCCATCATGCATGCTTAGCCCATGTCTCAGTCTGCATAGTAGTAACAGGGTTGGTGATGACAGAGGAACTCAGAGGCTCCACCCTTCTGCTCCAGGCATGCTCCCCAGCACCGAGGTTTCACATGCCTGCTGCACACCACGTGGGGCCCTGAGTTCTCACCGTTGTGCATAGGAGTGTGATATGCACGCGGGATCTAGCTTAGATGTGGCTCCACCACTGGCAACTCTTCCTTTCTCCCTGCAGTTAGGAAGGCACGTTAACTTTCAGCCTGCTGTCATAGCTTTTAGTGAATTGTTCACAACGGTTGGCAATTCATTATTAGTGGCAACTACTTTTCAAGTAATCTAGACCCACCATGGTTGACAACTCCTGGCTTGGGGCATCTGATGCAGCTGTGGGCCTTGTCTGGAACCCCTTTCTGTTCCTCATATTCTGCACTCGGATAGGGACTCTCCTTTGTTCAGAAGCATGTTTTAAGCACTTGAAGATGTCATGTGTGGAAGGCTCAGTCATGTCCTACAGGAGAGAATCTGTCTGGGGAGACAGAGGCACTAAAAGTGACCCTTCCACAGCACATGCTCCAGGTGTAAAGAGCAGATGCTGTGGAGTTTGAGGTGGTTCTCATCCATGAATTCAGAGTGTGATGTTGGAATCGGGTCCTGGAGAAGGATAGCAAAGAAGGAAGGCATTTGGGAAGACGGGGAACAAGATGAGTAAAGGTGTGGCTGTGGCAACAGCTCAGAGAATCTGGGAACCCTGGCTTCCTGAAAGGTAGGGTGCATGGAGGCAGGTAAATGGGGATGGAGAGGAGAGTGGAGCCAAGTCAAGTGGTTCCAGGTCCTGAAGAGGGAGCCAGGAATTTGGTCCTGTATCATCTGGGCAGGGGGAGGTGTTCAGCAGCTGGAAGGCTGGGTGGAGGAGGGACCAGTGGGGGAGGGGTCAGATGGGGGGGATCAGGTAGAGGAGGTACCCCAGTAGAGGAGGGGTAGGTGAAGGAAGGACCAGTGGAAGAGGATGGGTAGAGGAGGGCCTAGTGGAGGAGGACCTGGGGGAGGAGGCACAGGTGGAGGAGAGCCAAGTAGAAAAAGTCCCAGTGAAAGAGGGCTAGGTAGAGAGAGTCTGGGTGGAGGAGGGCCTGATGGAGGAGGGTGGGTAGAGGAAGGCCAAACAGAGGAGGGCCAGTGAGGAGGGACCAATAGAGGAGGGCCAGTGGAGGAAGATGACTAGAGGTGGGGCCAGAAGACTAGAGGAGGGAGGCCTGGGTGGAGTAGGAAGGTCAGGGGAGCAAGCCCGTGGCTCAGGAGACCACTGTGGACACTACAGACTGACCCAGCCACTGGGAAAAGCTCGAGGACCTACTGTGGTTGGAGACCAACGTGCTTCTTGGTTTTTTGTTTTCAAAACCAGCGCCAGAGTCCCGACACACAGCTCAGTGTATAATAGCACAGTATATAGCACAGTATATAATGGGCTTGATTTAGAATAGTTGACTGAGAAGATGAGGAAGAGGAAGGAAAAGGATGCTCAGCTTGAGACACCAGATGGAAGAGGAGTAGGCTGGGGGACCGGGGCATGGGGAGTGGGAGACACCAGTCGGCATTTAGCAGTCTGGTTGTGTTGCTGGCCAGTGTGCAGAGATGTCCAGGAGACAGCTGGAGTGAACTGCCCTCAGGTTGTCCCCATCAGCTTCCTGTACCTGAAGCTCTGTCCTGCCGTGCTTAGAGACCACAGGTTCATTCTAGGAAGTGCCTGCCCTGTGAACCAGCTGTAGTCTCGGGGCTCCCAGACCTGGACTTGAGGTGATGGTGGCTTGTGTGCACAGTTGTATGAACATGCAGACCCTTTGCACACTGTCTTACTAAGGAAAGAAAGTCCAGCCTTCTCCAGGGGACCGCAAAAGTTTAGCACAGAGTGCAGTGGACTTCAGATCAGAGACCTGGCTTATCATGACCTTGAACAAACAACTTAGATTTCACGGCCTCCACTGTAAAGTGAAAGATCTGCCCTGCTGTGAGTCAAGTGAACTGTGCTGGCAGTCACTTCTGAAATAAGATGCCATTGTTGCTGAGGTTTGGCTCACACCCGGGCATGGTATCAACTCTCTTGGTACCCCTGTGATTGTCCTGTTGCCCACTGGAGAAGGGAGGTGGAGAGGATAAGCATGTCTGTCATGACAGCTAGGCGGCAAGGGAAGGAGCCATGACTTTGGAGACTGATGTCTCCGGTACCCACACGGCGCACACGTTCACAGTGATGTTACATAAATTCAACAACTGCAGCTCTAGTCATTTTTATATGATAATGCCATTGTCAACCAGATTTATAAATACTTAGTGGCAAAATCTGAATATTCATTCCAGACTTTGAGTTATAAGATTGGGAAACAAAGCATACAAAAATCGTTCCAGGCTTGTAGTGGTCATGCACGGAGGACACATGTGAGAAGGTGGAGTTAACTGCTGTGTGAACATTACCTGGGTTCAGTCATCTTCTGCTCTGCCATACCGAAAAGCTGCAAAAGCAATTCAGCCAGTTGAGTGCTGGCAGCTTTCAGAAGCATGTCAGTTTTCTAGATCTTTCTTCCCCTGTTATCTTTTGACACCACCCCCTTCAAGGCAATTCTCCAGCTGTTCCCCTGGGGAGTTACTTTATGGGAAGTTTCTTTTGTGGGCTTCCAGCTGTCTTTACCTTCACTATCTTCATGAAGTCACCATCTCTTTCACATTCATATGATACTATACATCACGCATTGCCTTGGGATTGTCCCTTTGAGTTGTTGACTCCATGCTTTTGCTTTGCATACACAGGCTATCTCCTGGTTCGGACATTTATGTGACGGTTTCATCCATGGCTCTGGCAAGATCGCAGTGTCGTAACTCCCCCAGCAGCCTGTCTTCGTCCAGTGAGACAGGCTCTGGGGGTGGCACATACAGGCAGAAGTCCATGCCCGAAGGGTAGGTATGCGTCTGCTCCTTGTTCACATCCCATTGAAGAACAATGCCTTGTACATGTCCCACTGAACAACATCTGCACTAAGAGGATAGAGGGTCTCCATTCAGCAGTCTTGATCTACTGACAGGCAGAGAGAAGCAGCACTGATAATTCATATAGGACAGTGTCCTGATGGCTGGTTCAGACTGCTTCTTAGGCAGCATCTCACTCGCTAGCCTTTATGAAGGACTCAGTGGCAGAGAAGTCAGTGTCCCTTCCTCCACTGTGTATGTTGTTTAGTTTCAGAGTTCAGCTTTTGTCACTTCCTAATTCTTCCTCCAAGATGAATTCCACTTGTACTGGGGTTTGCGTTCTTTTGACACAGGGGGGTTACAGTCACATTCAGAGCTTAAAATCATTTGTCTCACACTTTTAAGTTGCCTGTGGTATATCTCTCTCTCTCTTTCTCTCTTTTTTGAAAACACTAAGGACCCCACAGTAACTGTTTGCTTCTGAAAAGACTTAAAAAAGTAAAAAATTAAATGTACTTGATTTTAGAGGCCACTCAAAGGAGGAAAAATAGAATGTCTGAAGCTAGAAAGTAATTAGCAACAAAACATTACATGGCACGCATAGGCCGCCTGTGCCCAGAGGAAGAGTAAAAGGACCATCAGAGACTTTCTGCTGCAAGTTCCTGAGGAGCTTGCAAAGACCTTGAACCATCTGAAAATTAAATGGGAGGTGCTCATAAAACCAAAGTTTCTATTCTGTGTTTTTCCCAAATATATTTTTAACAAATGGATACATGATTTGGTTACTTTCTTGAGATTTGACCACATCACAAAATAAGCATGCTTACTATATCAGCTCCTCATCATGGATATTTTTAATTCATAGTGTTTTGTTAGATTTCACAGCTATTAAGTCTGCTTTTGTTGTTGTTGCTAAATGTTTATGTTAGCAGAAAGTAGGAAATAAAACACTATAAAGTATGCCTTTCCCACCCCACTGCCACCCCAGGACCCCCTTGCTAACATATAGGGGCCAAGGGGAGGCTCCCATCCCCTGTCTGAAGGCTCCCCTAAATGAGCTGACACTAGACAGATTTGCAAAAGAAAAGGCATACAAGTTTATTCAAAGTATATGCCTGACAAATCGAGGTAGCATGATTCCCAGTCACTTGGTGGATATGAGTGTGAATATGCCTTCCTCAGAGGAGAGAAAGCAAGCTAGGGTGGTGGAGAAATGAACGAATCCAGTTCACAGTGGCCAGGACACAGTTCCTCTGAGCCCAGGGCAGGGTGGGGCCAGGCTTCCCTGTGGGGAGGCTGTCCCACCTGTCCCACTAGGAGAGTTCCTTGGGCAGCCTCAGAGCTGTCCTGGAAGGCAGCTACAAAATTGGTCAGGCCTGGTGATGACTCTGGTCTCCTCTCCAGTGCTTAATCCCTCCTGGTAATTTAAGGAGCTTCCTAGGATGGGGGTCTTAAGGCAGTTACGTTTTCTTATAGAAGTTTTCTTGGATGAAGAAATTCCAGAGAGTCCCTCCCTAGTTTTGGATTGGAGGATAGGGGGAGGGGACCTGGGGCTTCATCTTTAGTTCCACATGTCAAAGTACTGTGTTTTGGGGTATCATTTTCTGAGCCCCAACAGCAGCCTGTCTGAAATGCACATTTATTCTGTAATTAGTGCAATTAGAAAAAAGAACTTTTAGCTCTTTTTCATTAATCCCTGCAAAAGGTTTATGAATTATATATCATTGTACCATACCACAAGCTCAGCTGATTACTTCCTGATTTAATTAGTACCTTCTAAATGGCGTGGTTTGATTTCAAAACTAAGAATTTACCGCAACTTCAGTGTCAGTGTAGCAATAAAATGTAAATGAGCTACAAAGAAATAAAACATTGTCTTCTTGTGTGATACACTTTCAGTATATGCGAAGAAACTAAGTTGAGATACTCCTGTTTTGGTGACTGTGGACATTGAAACGTGGTTCCAAAGTCCATGCTGCCCAGTTCTTGTCAATCATGTGGTGATTCTGCAATTTGATGTTTAACAACTGAGCCCCCCATAGGTGGCACTGAGGGATCCCCATTGTCCGTGAGGTCACTGTGCTGGAGGTACCTCTTACAACTGGGGTGGTCTTTTACAAGAGGAGAGGACACAGTGTTTCCTCCAGATCCCAAGCAGTCTGTATCAGTGACGCTCACCCCCCTGTGCACGGCTGTGCTTGCCCCTGCAGGAACCCTGACCCGGGAAAATGCTGATCTAGACTCTGTACTCCCCCAACATGGCAGATGGACAGGTGACAGTGAAGCTGCAGCATGTGTGTCTATGGCAGAGACCTGGAGTGGGGCCTCACAGCAGGTTAACACACGGGTTGCTCGTGAACATCCCAGGCTACCCTGGTGTCCTGCCTCCTCAGTGGACTCAGGGTCTGCGTCTGGGGCGCTGTAGGATGTGTGCTGCTCACAGCTTGGTGAGGGGACATTGAGACTGTCCACACAAGTGGAAAGGTGAAATTCAATGGCATGACTAATACCTGCTGTACTTGAAGTGGAGAAAGACACTGGCACACATATAGGGTGGGAACGAGAGGCAGTTAAAAAGCAACTCCTGGCTGGGCTTGGTGGCTCAGCTGTAACTCCAGCACTTTGGGAGGCCAAGGCAAGTGGATTGCCTGATTCCACGGGTTCAAGACTAGCCTGGGCAACCTGGCGAGACCTTGTCTGTACAGTAAAAAATTAGCCAAATGTGGTAGCGTGCGCCAGTAGTTCTGGCTACTTGGAAGACTGAGGCCGAAGCATTGCCAGAGCCTAGGAGGTCAATGCTGGGGTGGCCATGAGTCTGCCACTGCACTCCAGCCCGGAAAACAGAGTGAGACTCCAACTCAAAAAAAAAAAAAAAATCAACTCCTTTTAAAAAGCCATAGGACCAGCCTGGCATGTTTCATACCTGTAATGTCAGCATTTTGAGAGGCCAAGGCAGGATAGCTTGAGCTCAGGAGTTCAAGACCAGCCTAACCAACATAGTGAGACTTCATCTCTACAAAAAGTAAAAAAAAAAAAA